TCGGCTGCGGCGGCGGCAGCTGTTCCCTGCCCGCAGCCCTCCCGGCCACACAGGGCATTTAAATTTTAAAGCACGCTCCCCACGGCTGTTTTCTCCTCCATCCCTGTCCAGCTCGCAGAGACCCCGTCCCCGGGAGCCGCTGGCCCGCGAGGCACCCATGGGTTCGCTGGTGGCCAAGCTCCTTCTGCCCACCATCAGCACCTTGGTCTTCCTCCCCACCATCAGCATCGCGGCCAAGCGGCGCTTCCACATGGAAGCCATGGTCTACTTCTTCACCATGTTCTTCGTGGCGGTAAGATGTCTCCGTCTCCCCCACCGCGTGTTTCATCCCCCCTAATGCCCCCTGCATCGGGTCTCCACTGAGAAGGGTAGCTGGATCTCACTCAACAGCAGCGAGCGTGACCCCAGAATATCCATTTTCAGTTATTTCCCACCGTGTGTGACGCTGAGTAGCTGATTCTTCAGTTTAGGATGTCCTAAGGGGTGGCCTTACATAGATTTAATGGTGTTTTATGGTTGTGAGGTTAGGGAGAAGGTCTGGGTGCAAAGTGACTTGATTGATTCGCAATGTTTTGGAGCTGGTTTTTCCCTTTGTTTTACAGCTGGTAAGTGGCCATGCTGAATTTGGGGTTTAAATTGTATCCAGAGTCTCTTGCTATGCTTCTGTCGTTTTAGCCAAAAGCACGTAGTCGAATTACTGATTTTGCAATTGCTAACTGGTGATGGGAGCAATGCTGGAGTCAGGGGAGTTTCTGCGCTGGGAAAGGAAAGACTAAAACATGCTGCTGAGCTATCAAGAAAAATAATAATTAACCCTCCACCCTGGCAGAGCGGTTTGAAAATATGTGTTTCACCAGGCTCAGAATCACCCTGCCTTCCCTGGCGTGGGAATACCGAGTGGAGAAAGTCAGTTGTCTGTACATAGACAGAATAATCCGTATTCCTGCTCCCGGCAGTAAGCTGCCCTGCGCTTTGTATCGCTGCTAAGTGCCTCCGTATACACACGGGTTGAGCACCTAAAGCAGCATTGCCACTGGAAAAAATCTCCTATTTAACCCTATGGCAATGCTCTGCTAAAGAATATGAAGGAAATAGCCCAGCAACCCAACCAATATTGCATTTATCTCTTCTCCCCACCCATCTCAAGGCATCTCATGAGGGTTGTCACATCCCTTGCACAGAGACAGAGAAACTGAGGCAGGGAAAAGATAAAGGACCTTCCTGGTGTGAAAAGCTCTTCCACAGCAGCACTGAGGGTAAAGCAGGGCTCTGAACCAGGCCAGTCTCTTATTCCTAAGGATCCACCATTTAAGCCTCCAATTAAAGCACAATGGAGGAGGAAAAATTCTGCCAGTTCTATAAAAACTACAGGACTAGTTAATAAAAATTCCCCAGCCGAGCCCCCCCAGCTCCCCGGGGAAGCCAGACATCTACAATTTCATTTTGCACCGGTTTTGTGTCTGCTCCACCTCCCCGAGAAGTCAATAGGAAAATTGGCACGTGTTTCGACGGGAGGTGGAACAGGTCCTTGCCGAAGAGATTGAAGAGGGGAAGGGAAGGGGAGGCAGCTGCCAGCATGGTCGGGGGGGTAGGAAGGGCAGCAGCTGCTGCTGTTGCCTTTCTTGTAGCATCCCACTCCTCCTCCCCAGGAGACCTCATCAGAGCAGTGAAAGCATATGTCCATCGCAGACAAGTGCTGCAATGCCGGCCAGAAACACGCTCTTTGTCTTCCACCCTTTCTTCCCCCCATCTCCAGACTACTCGAACCCAATCTCAAGCAGAGAAAAGAATTACGGCTGTGGTGCAATCTTTTCTAGAAACCGCAGCGAGCCAAAGGACTTGCAGCAATTCCCATTATAAATAATATCAGCATCCCCGCTGGGCCGTGACAGCGAGGATTGTTCCAAGGGCGTCCTGCCAAGCGGTGAAGGGACTTCTTCAGAAACAGCAAAGCACGCTGGTGCTACCACTAGAAAACTCGCAGAGCTGAGTGCTCGGAGGAAAAGGCGAGTGCCAGGCAAACACTGGGAGCATTCCTCTGATTGCACTGGAAAATTTCTCTTGGCTTGGTTTGCGACTATGTTGCATGACAATGGGGTTTTTTTGCAAATAACCTAATCAATGACCTAATGGGCAGGAACCAGCAGCTTTTAAGGGAATGCACTAATGAGTGAATTCCCCAGTATTCAGATTCTGGCCATATAAACTCTAGTTAGCCTGGACAGTGACCTGGCTTCTATACACATTTCATCAGGACACTCATTTTGAATTGTTTTACAAGAATCTTTCACAATCAGAACCATAACCTCAGAGTCCTCCTTCTGCTGGAGAGGACGTCTCCGCACCTCCTGGGGCTCGGCTCGAAGCAGCTTGGTCATCAGATTGCAAATTCTGGCACAGACCAAGAGGCAAGCTAAAGCTCGTCCACAAGTAATTTGTACTGAGAGAGAAGAATGCTGGTTCTCAGGCAACTTGCAATTGGGAACGGTGACATTATATCTCAAATATATTCATTACTGCATATTAGTGACCCTGGTGTATATGAGACTCTCCTGTTCCTGCCTGGCCATCCTCTCAATAGCCATGGAAAGGTTGTTTCAAACCAACTGATAAAAAGAGAAGGATTTTATTTTACCTTAGCGGTCTGTGGGTAGAAAACTAGCTTTCTTAATGCTTTTTTTTTTTTTTTAAATAGATTTACCATGCATGCGATGGCCCCGGCTTATCAGTGCTATGCTTCATGCGCTACGATATCCTGGAGTATTTCAGCATCTATGGAACAGCTCTGTCCATCTGGGTGTCCCTGATGGGTAAGCACTGGTCTCTCGTGGTTCCTACAGAGCACCAGCGTTTGCAGGTCAGGCAGGATTTGTCAGCATCGCTGGTGGGACGGTTAGTGGGTACAGTCCCCAGAAATGCTGTTGCCTTTGAGCTCCCTTCTGCCAGACTTAGCTCAGAGACTGTCTTTTATGGAAGTCAGCCCGTGCTATGGTTTAATCTGTTTTTACGTCATTCGTGCCTTGGAAAGCCATTGCACTTGGTGGGGTCCAGACACACATGAAAACTGTCCTGAGTGGTGGCTGGGGAAGTTTTGCTCTTGGAGATAAAGAGCCCTGGCGCCGGGTGTTTGTGTTAGTCGGGAGTTCCTCTGCCTTCACCAGCTCTTATGCATGTCCTTACAACAGCCGAATTATTTCTTTCAAATTGCCAAGTAACACATGCATCCTTGTGCTTTAGTTCAAGGCAGGACAGTACTATGAGATGACTTAGTTTGAAACCTCATATATCAGGGAATCTCCCATTTCTTCTAATTTTCCCCATAGTGAGCCCATCAGCTTGTTCTGTCCTGACCTGGGGGATTAAAAAATGCAGAACCTGCCACTTCCCTTGGTAGCACGCAAATCAAAGTGGGTTAGTCAAAACAAATATATCTTCCTAGTTTAGCAAAAGCCTGGTCTAGGCTGATGGGAAACATTAGATTTGCTTAGAAAAAGCAGAAATATATTTCACTTCCTTTTTATTAAAAATCCTGACCTTTGCCCTATTACTCAGTTTTCCCACATTCCCTTCACTCTCCTTTTTTCTCATTTTATTCCTCATTTGCCGCTGAAACAAGGTATAATAGAAATGAAGAAAAACATGACAGAACTAAGGGAGGATGAAAACTTCAAACATATTATTTTCTCATTTTGTCAGCACGTTTTTTGGAAGGACGTGAGTATTTCTGACAGGAGAAAAGAGTAGGGTAAGGAGAGAGAGGAGGGGACAGTCACTTTCCAACAGCAAAGGTTTTGCTCAACAGATTCGGACCATCTCTAGCAGTCGCACAGCCAGTCCCTGCTCCAGCCAGGCAGGGTCCCCAGCCCTCCTGGTGCTGAGCTGGGGTCACCATGCTGATGCACAGCCCCAAAACTCTCACAGGACCTTCCCCTCTGCCCCTCGGGGCCCCAGGGATGGTGCAGGACCTCTGGCCGGGATGGGGGGGCTCCTGCAGCCCCTGAGCCCAGCAGGAGCCGTTGGGCAGCACCCCCTCCGCCGGGCACAGGTCCATCCCTCCTCCCTTCACCACCAAGCAGCGCAGACAGCAGCATCACCCTTCCAGGGCATGCAATGGGATAAATCTTCCATGCAGGGAAAAATGAGTGGGGGAAATATTAACCTCAGAAATGGCTCTGTTCCCCCAAGGTGCGAGTCCCAAGGTGGGCTCCCACACTGTCCGTGGCACTTCAGTGCTCTCTCTGCTTGGCTAGAAAAGGCAATGGGGCAAATCATCTCCAAAGGGCATTTTCAGTAGATAACAGCAGTGTCAGAGTAGGTCAGAGCCGATCCAGACACTTTGGCTCCTTGCAGCAAAATTCAACTTGATTGCTTCATTACTGCATTCAAAAACCTTGCAAAAAAATACAAATCCCGGACTACGATGTTTAAAATATTGACCCGCAGGGAAACAACAGAGATTAAAATGCGGACATTATCCCTTAGCCAAACTCCCTATAAAACCACGATCCAAGGACATGGAAGGTGTGGTGACTGAAGCCCAGGGAAGCCTCTCGCTGTGGCTTGTAAAGCCCGAGCGCACATGTGCGGACACAGACCCTCGGGCATGCTTCCCGGAATGCAAATCCAGGACAGCCATAACACAGCTGTGTGAGCTGGAAAAGCATGGAGCCCACTGGGATCCATAACTTTTATCAGTTATTACCCCATTCTGTGCTAAACAAAAGCCTCTAATAATTTACTCGTACTGGCGACTTCCAGCTTGCAAACCTCAGGCAGGTGCCGGCACGGCTGGGCAGCCCGGTCCCCATCGCACCGGCGAGCGCGGTCCTACGGGAGCGGGGTGATGGAGGCTGCATCGGGGTGAGCCGGCAAGTTTGGGAGGGTTGAAGATGTAGGATGGCCCCAAGAGCCAATGGCTGGGTGCAAGCGTCTTTGCAATCGTCTCCAACTTCTGGGTCGAGGCAGCAAAGGGGAATACGGGTGGGACATCTCCTTTAGCTTCCACACTCAACACTGAGTATAAGACCTCTAAAATCAGCTCCTAGACCTACCACTCCGATGCCTCAGGATGGTTCGCTTTGCCCCTGTATGCCTCAGTTTCCCCAGCTGTGAGGCATAAGAAGGGCAAACCAGACCTGGATGCAACACTGAGGATCCCTGGGGCAGGCGGGACAGACCCCAGTAAGGCTTTAGGGGAGCAGCCGAGGAATGGGGTGGGCGAGCTGACGCTCCCTGTGCTCGGTGCCACGCAGCCCTGGCAGAGTTCGATGAGCCGAAAAGATCGACCTTCGTCATGTTTGGCGTCCTCACCATCGCTGTGAGGATCTACCACGACCGCTGGGGCTACGGCGTCTACTCGGGACCCATTGGGACGGCCGTCCTGGTGATAACCGTGAAATGGGTACGTAGGGAAGAGCACCGCGCCGGGGCTTTGCAGGGTGCTCATGATGGGGAAGGGGCTGAGCCCTGCACAGAGGGGTCCGACCTGCGCCAGCGGTTTCCTCCTCGAGGTCCAGCTCTCGCAGCACAGGCCATCACGGTAATTAAACAGCACTTCTCCTTCAACCCGAGCAGAAAGCAGGCAGACAGCAAGCAGCCTTTGTGATAAACGCCAGATTCGATCGATCTGAGCAATCTACCACATCTCCTGTCCCTGCATTTCTAATCAGGAGGAACGTATTTATGGAGTTTTTACAGCTACTCAGAGGCAGAAGGGGTCTGGTAAACTGCCCCAGAGCCGGTGGAAGATGTGCATAAAACGCGGTGATAGAGTGGGAAGGAATCTGCCTGTAGTCTGCCTGAATCTGGCTGGCAGCTCCTGGGACAGTCGGGCGCCGTGCCGCAGCGTGGGTCCCACAGCAGGTGCTGTGGACCTGGGTGGGAGCACGGGTGGCGGAGCCATCGGCAGGAGCGGGCATGGCCCTAAAAGGGAAAGGAGAAGGATTCAGTGGTGGGATAAAATTTGCAGGAAAATGCTGCCGAGTGTCACGGAAATACAGTGATGCACGTCCCAACTACAGACTGTCACTGAGCCCCGTCTACCGCCCGGCCGGCAGCTAAAAGCAAGTGGCCACGACGGGGAGGGGATGGGCAAGGAGGGGACCGAGGCACAGGACCACCCTGCATCCCCCAGCCCGCAGGTGCTGTGCTGGGATCCGCTCTCCCAGAGACTGAGTTTGAGAGGGCACACTCTTCCCGAGCTGGGTTTGGGGCTGAATATTAAGAAAACAGCATTGTGATCAGGAACGAAGCAGGAGGACCCCTTGCAGCACGCAGGCAGGGGTGCTTCCCACGTGCAGGCAGACCTCGGTCTGCGGGCTTTGAGTGGTTTTATTTCAGCATTTATGGGATCTTTTGGATGCGGAGCAGCCAGCTAAATCCAGGTGAATACACTTGGTGTGCTCTCTCTTTCCTTCCAGCTACAAAAGATGAAAGAGAAGAAAGGGCTCTATCCGGACAAGAGTGTCTACACCCAACAGATCGGTCCTGGCTTCTGTTTTGGGGCGTTAGCACTGATGCTGAGGTTCTTCTTTGAGGTACCTGTTTGCAGACTCAATCACCCTGACTTTACAAGGTGTAAAGGACATTACCAAGATAGGAGACCTCCCCCTTTGCACCGCTGGGCTGCATCCAGCCTTGGACAAAATCCAAAGCTCAGGTGCAGGTCTCCGGGGTTGGCGTGCCGGGGTCTGGCAGCAGGGACGAGGGTCCCTCCCTGCTTGTCCCCATCCTGGCCCGTTAACTGCGGTGTAGGCAGAGACAGATGTGACAGTGGGTGACACGCAGGGTGATGCTCACTCTCTTTCCCCCCCATTAAGTGAGTTGCAAGGACGTCGACCACGCTTTCCACAGCCATACATGGTCCTCAAAATGGTTTTGTCAAATGCGAGTGGGGTTTTTTTGGAAACCGGGCACGGGTGACTTAAGGACACCTCGCAGAGCCACGGCAGGGACTGGATATGACCCAGGCATGGCCGGATCCAAAGCTGGCTCACACCGAAGAAAAGACTCTCAGTTGACTCCCAGGGGCACTCGATCTCGTGTTTATAACCTTCTGCTCTCGCCGCTGGCCAGTCCGCCCGTCCTGCGCAAAAGGGTCCGTCTGTCCCGCGCGGGGAAGGAGATAACAC